TCACTGTAGTCATGTGACTCGTTGACGCAACAGAGGGATGTAGTGGTGCAGAAGCGTACCGGAACGTCGCTGGCGGCAAGTATGAGGGTTTATAACTCAAAAACTGGGTTTCGATACCCTCAAGGGAGCACAGTACAGATAGTCCATTGTGTAGTTTTGTGATTAACACGACACAAAGAAGCATATCGACAGTACAACATTTAGTTGTTACTGAATGTTATCCTCAGATTTTGTTCTGCCATCTAGTGACCACAATTATAATCATTTCTACAAGTGAATACAAGTTTGTGTGTGCATAAAATTAATAACACATAAGAGCACCTCTAACCTAGAAATATAGTTCAATTGATAAATGTAGATTATCAATGCGAACCTAGTAAGAAAGGTAGGTTTCATCCAAATTTCAATATTTTTTATAAAAAGTTTTATTGAGTATTTTAAACTTTAAAAAACCTTAAGTTTTTATTCAAAACACTTGCAGAGTCATCTATTGAGTTAGGAGATATAAATATTTATCCATCAAAGAATAGTATTCAGTGTAAAATTAAAAGAAGCCAAAGGAAAAAATGAAGGAATGGCAAAGTTAAATATTTTGTTAATTTGGACGAACTATTAGTTTTTACACATGCCGTAAAAGTATCAATTATAAGTGATATACTTTCTTTCTTGTTATTTGCATCTATGTGACTAAGTTTGTTTTTACTTGTGTGTGTGTATTTGTGATTCTTTTGTAATTTTTTTTCTTAAAAATGAAATAATTTTGTTTTTTGTCTGACTGGTACTTTTGCTATGCCTGACAGTAATATCACTTTCATTTCTTTAAATGTTAGCTAAAATAGAACTATTTATCCTATTCATTATACATTTAAACTTGATATTTGTGGAGCTCACCTCAATTTCATTGAAATTGGTTTAGGCCAGCTCTTGAAAACAAGTTGTAGCATAAAGACACCAGACAGGTTTGGTTTGAATTTCGTGTAAAGCTACACGAGGGCTACAAACAGAAAAATACCCCTTTACCTAAAATATATCGAACTTATAGAAATGTGATGAATTGTTTGTTTGTTTGTTTTTGAATTTCGCACAAGGCTACACGAGGACTATCTGCACTAGCTGTCCCTAATTTAGTAGTGTAAGACTAAAGGGAAAGCAGCTAGTCATTACCACCCACCAACAACTCTTGGGCTACTCTTTTACCAACAAATAGTGGGATTGACCATCACATTATAATGCCCCCATGGCTAAAAGGGCAAACATGTTTGGTGGGACAGGGATTTGAACCAGTAACTCTCAGATTGAGAGTCTAGCGCCCTAACCACCTGACCATACCAGGCTGACAAATGGAAAACTCAGCATTAGATATGTGTGTGTGTCTGTGTACAGGTAGATAGAAAAATATTACAGTAATAATATATTAATTTGACCAATAAGATATATTAGATGCAAAGTCAGCATTATAAAACTACCTGTAGAGATACTGTTGAACAATAAAGACTTCCAATGTTTGTGGAAATTGCAACAAACAGAGGGTGTAATTTAAAAATACTCTTACGACAGCGGAAGTCACGCACTGGTAGCATGTGCACTGGAGTTTCTTGAAGGATCATAAATTTTCCTAGCAACTCTAGTTTGTTCGAGGCACCTTTTTTTTTTTAGTATATAAGCCTGGCGAGAAAAACCAGTGCAATTGAAGAGAGAGATATGCAGATAGATTGAAGATAAAGATAATTGGGTCAAGCGAACAGTATGCACCTTAAGTAATCTGTGTGAATCACTGTGATTTATAGCATGTGTTATAAAAGAAGTGAAGTTTAAAGTACTGATTGAAAATTACAAAGTTTGTATGGAGGAAGAATAAACTGGTTTAATCAAGAAAGGACTTGTATCACTGATGTTCCTCGGCAAGAATTTTACCAGAAATTAACAAACGACCAGATACGCAACAATACCAATTGTTAAGTTTAACATGTTTAAAATTTGCGTCACAGATAAAAATATATAGTGGAACAGGGAAGACAGAAAATTAAGGTTCAAAGAGGTGTGGGAGATGAAGAACAAGGTATTCTTTATAAATTAGCAATCCCCTGATCTCTTACAGTAGGTACTGAATCTGTAAGTTTTTCAAATGAACCAGACATTTTTGTCTTTTGACAAACACAGCTAAAATTTAAACTGTATAGAGCCATTCAAAGAAAGCGCAGAGCAGAAATGTAAGTGTATTGTTAAGGCTAGATTTTGGACTAACCACTTGCAGTGGACTCTGTACTTTGTATTTGTGAGTATGATGAAATGGTATAAAAAGGTTTTGTAAAAGCATAATTTTGTTGGATGAAAAAGATCCAGATTGTGTGCTGCATGTTCCAATATGTCAGTGACCCGCAGATTCTCTGTATTCTACTATTAGAAATAAATGACAAACTGTAGTTGTAATACTAGCAAATAAATACAATCTCAAAAAAATAAAAGCGTAACTAAAATCTGACTGGACGTAGTAAAGAGTATATATTTTTTTAATTAGGAAGCACATTAAAAACATTTCATCAGGAAATATATTGATTTCACTTATAGAAATACCATCTGAGACCTTTTGATTGAAAACTTTCATCAGAAAGCACAATCAGTAGTATTCCAATATAGTGGTAACCATGATGATAGAACAGAAACCAAGTAAACGGTTTCAGGAAAATGCTAAAACCAGTTCCTGTTCCATCTAGTGGTCTCCATATCCTCATAAGCACACCATTTTTGAAAAAATAACAATTTAGAACTTTCTCCAGTTCATATTTTGGGAGTGAATATTTAAAGAGTGAAGAGATCTGTGGATCCTTTTCTTGCTCAGCAATCAGTTTACTTTTAGCAAACAGAACTTCACTAGGTGAACTAGATCCCTCACACCCATAATTGTCACTCACCGAGGTATCGTCAGCAGGACAATCATCCACAAGATCCCTGTCAGATCTAAAAATTATTTGAGACAAATCTATAATATCGTCCTCTGAATCCATGTCTATCATTTGTTTTTTGCTTAATTTCTTAGCCTGAGCTCGAGTCACAGCACACGAGGGAAACACATCAGGATTCTCTTCAGTGACAACATCATCCTTAGATGAAATAATGATTGGCTCACTAACCATTTTGGGTTCAGCAACAACTTATCCCACAGCCAAATTGTTTCCCAACAATAATGATACATTCTTAATTGGCAGAGTAGGTCTTACTCCAACCACAACTGGTCCCGACCTAACTGGACCAGTAATAACTTGTATGCTTTGAGAATAGCTGCTTTAACTTTATCATAATTCATACAATCTTCTAGAGAATGAGCAGCATAAGCTTTTTGTGCTTTACCAGTTAAAATACTTTGTAATAATAATGACCATTTTTTGGTGGGCCATTCCATGATTTGGGCAACTATTTAGTAGCTTCATTTTCATTAAATGGTCGTACTTTAATATATCGATTAAGTTGAAAGTTGTCATTTTGCCTTGGTCAATCAGAGTTGAGTTTAATTTCCATTTCTTTCAGCCTAATTTTTTTTCAGCTTAAATGTGAGCTTTTTCGACCGTGAGATGTTTATCTTCTCTTTCAGCTTCCATACGAGCTTGTTTGGCCTCAAGGTGTTTATTTTCTCTTTCAGCTTTGCTACAAGCTTGTTGAAGTTCTATTTGTTTGAGTTTTAGCTGGATCTCTAACTTATGTTTATCACTCAACCCTGATTGGATAGTGGGGACACTAGAGTATTCCCCCAATGCTTCCTCAGGCAACAAATCATCATCGACTAGTATTTTGATAATATGTTTTTTTAGTTAATTTTTTCTCATTGATCTTTTAACTTCTAGCTATAGAACTTTGGCAATTTCGAGCAATTGATTTTTGTTACATTTTTCTAGTTGTTCTAGGGAGGGTGATACAAGAAAATCTTGATAATCAGACATGATCAAATCTTGTTAGCACTGATAAATATAAATTGAATTATGATATAAATTTGAATTTAGATTGAATTTTGTCTCTGATTCAGATCTCAGACGAGCCCCAATTTCTTATGTTACGTATTACAGTTTCAAATAGCCTAAATCTGAGTTAAATTGTAATTTAGATTCAGTAGTTAAATAAATGCCAATATATATATATATATATATATCCAGTTTATGATATTTGCCAACAAGATTGATACACTAAGTTTTCTTTTTTTAATACAAATATATTTTAATATACAAACAATAATACAACTTACAATAATGGTTATGACAAATAGTTATTACAAACAATGATTTATATACAAAAGTTTTACAAACTTACAAACAATATCGAATCTTCCTTCTGGTCTGGAACTTGCTTGATGTCTTATCAAGGTGTTACGCCTCCGTTCGTTAGTTAATTTTCTGTAACTTCGTTACGACGAAACTTTAGCGACACAAGTCCTTTCTTAAATAAAACTGGTTTATTCTTTCCGAATACAACTTTACCGATACACTTAATTTCAACAGTCGCGCTATAATTCTCAACGAACGCCTCACGTGATCGAGTTCAATTACACACTCTCTGACTGCAGTTCAATTACTCACTACTTACACATTGTCCCGTCACGTTGTGACCATCTTATATATACCAGCCTACCCCCAATCTAGTAATCTCCCGACAATTCACGAAGGGCTCATGATGAATGAGTTAATGTCGAGTTGATGTAGGTACAATTCACTTAATAGGGAGCTAACTAGCTGAGTGGTCTGCACTGATCACACACCGATTTTTTTCCACCAATGAAGTTTGGTAATGTTTTCGTAAAAGTACTAATGTCTGATGTGAATCCAATAAAGTTAAATGGTTTGTAATATTTGAAATTTTTAAATGTTCTTGGTCAGATATCTGAACTTTCCCTATTAATAATCTTTATAACAATCACGGTTATAGCTTCCGAAGTTTACAGTATACCAACTATAGCAAACCAATAATAGATACTGTTTTTTGGCGCATCTCGCTGATTATATTTATAGGGGTGTGGAGAGTTTCTCGAAATTTGTGCTTATGCAACAATACTGACACTACACTAGTATTTACGTACACACACATATTGTTGATTCTTAGAGTCAAGAATCTTCTACAACTTTAGAGAATAGGTGGGAATTTTGCAATACAGATTTAACTGTACAAGTTATGCACATTTCTAAATATAAATGTAGCTTTAAACAAATATCGATATTAAAATAAATATATAATAGTAAATCCGTCACAAACGTGAATATCTTGAAGAATAGTTTAATTATTTGTTGGTATAAAACCAACTAAAGGTATGTATACATTGTATGCAATGTTCTATATAAATATATAAGATCTGATTTTTAAAAAATGTGCAATTTAAAATAACATTAAAGGACAAGAAGGGGCCCTTTTGGTCCATCTAGGCTGCCCTATCTATTAAATTAAATCAAACCCTGAAAAAAAAAAAACACTTCAAAGACAGCTCTCATCATTCAAATATTTATCGAGCTTTTCCTTAAACTCCCTTAACTTAACTGCAGCCACCACATCTGAAGGTAACCCATTCCAGAGGCCAACCACCCTGTTAGAAAAATAAAGTTGTCTTAGCTGAAGATAGCTGTACTCTGCCAAAATTTACATTTGTGTCTCCAAGACTTACGATTCTTACTATTAAGTGCAAAAAGAAAAAAAAGATGATGCATCAAAACTGTTAATTCCCTTTACAATCTTAGACACAAATCAGTCCCTCTCTAACTCTTCTCTTTTTTGATAGAAAACAGTTTCAGGTATCATAACCTTGCCTCATATGATAACATTCCATCTCAGGTATGATTCTAGTAGCACTCCTCTGAACCCTTTCCAATAGTTCAATATCCTTTTGGAGGTAAGAAGCCCACGATTGAACATAATATTCCAAATGTGGCCTAACCATTGACCTATTCAATGACATTGCAGCCTCTTTGGACTTGTATTCAATATTTCACAACTTAAAATTCTATTTGCCCTGCAACTAGCAATAAATAACACATTGCTTGGATGTGTTAAGACATTGATAAATCAGAACACCAACATGTTTTTCTTCCATAACATTATTAAGGTCATTCCCATCAAAATTATACTCATAATTCAGATTTTGATATCACACATGCATTTTATTGCATTTATTATAATTAAAAGCCATCTGCCATTTATTCTCCCAGCAACTCAACAAATATTTCAAATCCTTTTGTTAGGCAATAGCATCCTCCTTACAGCCAGAAACACCCAAAACATTAATATCATCAACCAATCTATTTATCCTTCCTTCATCTATATAAATCTATCAGGTAAGTCAAAAAGAGAAAAGGTCTTAACACTAAGCCTGATAGAACTCCACCAGTGACATTAAACCAGTATGACTGAACTCCATTTATAACAACCCTCTCCTTTCTTTCATCTAGTCAGTTTTTCATCCAATGAGGCAACCTCTCCCCTATGCCTACAGATATAACATTTTAAACAAACCTTTTATGTGGCACCTTGTCAAATGCTTTCAAAAATCCAGATACACCACATCCATACCCTTGTAAGGCAAGATTTTTCCCTAGTGAAACCATGCTGACTATCCAACAAAATTATAAACTTTGTTAAAAGACTTTGCAAAGCATCTTTTTTCAGACTTTCCAAATCTTTCCCACAACTGATGTAAGACTAATAGATCTGTAACTACTGGGACAAGTTTTATCACCTGCCTTGAAAAGGGGAGTAACATTAGCCAACTTCCAGCCCTGGTACCTGCCCACCATTTGAAGACTTAGAAAAAATAATAGCAAATGGCTCACATATTCTATCCTTAACCTGTTTCAAAACTGCTTGGAAAATATTATTTGGCCCAGGTGCTTTATTGTTGAATTGATCTCATAAATCCATCTAGCCAATCTGCTCTACCTTACATACTAACCAAAGCCTAGTATTTGGCCCTAGCAGCCTACTTATAATTTCATCCCCACATTTAAGTCTTGGCAGTATTCCTAACAGAATTAAGTTATTATGGCCCTATTCTTTGAATGCTTTGTACTTAACAATCAGCTCTTCGAATCTGCCCATCATTAGCCCCTATGTACACTAGCACTCTTTACTGTGCCATTTGCTTTGTCATTTATATTCTCCAGTATAATTTATCCCTTTTCTCCTTATTTAATTTCAAGAACTAAAAATTATATTTATTTGTGAATTGTTTTTTGTAAGTTTTTTATTAAAGCTGTTTCATTCAGTTTTGTGTACCTTATATTGTTTATAAGGTAGTCATAAAGTACATTCATTATATAAAGTTTTAAATGCAGGGAATGTATAGTGATTTCAATGTTAGAAACAAGATTTCTGTAATAATTTTGAATCAGTATATTTTATCTTGTTTTCAATAATATCTAAAAGCTTGCAACTTCATAACATGTTATATCCAAATTTAGTGAATAGACTAAGAGCTTGATCTTTATGTGCCTTGTATGGAGCAGGACAGCATCATTGTGAATAATATTTGTTAATCCCATTGTACCAGCTAATAATTTTATGTTTTTATAGTATATTGGAAGATAAAGTTCAGTATATGTTATGAAGAACAGACCATGTGAATATTGACATAAAATTCCCAGATTTGTTTTTTTCACCAGTAACAAAGAGTCAGATTACTCGACTTCATAGCCGTTTCACCATTCTGGATAAAGGAAAAACTGGAAACTTAAGGTAAATCATTTACTGTGGTTAAATGAGAGCAAAATTGTTTAGTTTTACTATTTGCTATATTTTTATTAAAGTATTTTATAAGTTACTACATTGTGAGAATAAATTATATAAATAATTTTTCCGATCACTTAATGGTTTAAATACATTATTTAAAAGCAAATATGCAGGTAACAGAAAGTAATATAATTGCTAATAGTATGTTATATTTCCATAATTGATATAGTTCTTTGGCACATCTTTTAATTTGATGATTGAATTAAAGCAAAACATTGCTGGAAGAATGGGTGTTTTATGGTCAAGGCCATCACTCAAACTGCCAAATTGTTAGTAAGACCTGGCAACTACCAGTTTTGGTAACTGAAATATGTGTACAAAACATCTTATAACATTCAGTTGATGATTTAACATTTTCAATATATGTGATTATTTTGAAAATGTTAGTGTACTAAACAAGTACAGAAATACCTTAAATTATTATACAGCTGACAAAAACTGAATGGTATATTTAACTTCTTTTCTCAGTGCTAGGTGCTACATTACACTACAAATTGAGATATATAACTGTATGATGAAATACTTTCAAATACTTGCATATAACAATTGTGTAAGATTTTTGAATAATATTTTGACAGACCATTTTACCTGTTATAAGATACTTTACTGGAATTTCCCAATATGGTTTTACACACTAGTTTATGTACATGATAAAATTTTATGTTGTACATCATTGAACCATATTAGAACCTATCAGTTGAAGACATCAAACAGGTATTGTTATTTGAAATATGGGATAATGACAGGGGAATGTATTTTTAGCTGATCTTTATTAACAGTAAGGATTGTATTATATGACTTATAAGCTTTAATCTTTTGACTTGATGTCAGAGTATGCCATTCTCATGTCACATGCATTTGTTTAAACTGTAGTTATATTTGCCTTTGAAAAAAATAGTTATAAAAATTATTTTGGCAGCTTCTTTAAGATGTGAGCAAATTAAAATCTTTTGTACTTACTTGTGGTACTTGTTGATGTGTGCCAAGTTTGGTAATTCTAGCTTGTGAGTGGGGTATGAAGACAATTTCATATATGTTTGTACACCAAATAAAGAAAGGTAAAGTGGCTACATCATATAGATAAGGACATCTGGTAGGCCATTCTGAGTTCACCTGCCAAGTGTGATCACTGCTATTTCCAAAACTGTGAGAGAAAATTATATACAAGCAATTTCATAAACACAAAACATTAATTAATATAAGATTTTAATTAGATTGCAGTTGATTCTAAGTCAAAAACATGTAATCCTTATAATATTTCTAAGTCAACGAAAAATAATCAAAATTGTTATCTTTGAAAAAGTATCTTAGCTCAATCTGAACTACATGGTTGCAATGTTACTGATTGATAAAATGAGTGTATCAGAATTAGCCTTGTTGATGATATGCATCATTTCAGTGTAGTTGATTTCTTAAACATATGAAGTTGTTTATTAAATGTTTAAATGGTAAGACAGAGAAATGAAAAAATTGGAATGGAATGATTTAGCATGAATTTGTCTGTTAAATGTTTAAATAATGTAACAGGGAAATGAAAGAATAAAATAACACATTTTAGTGAGGTTTAAAGTCTTTCCAACACTAAGGAAAAACTGCATACTGGATAAGTATGTGTATTATTCAACCTCTCTATTCTTTAAAATTAATGCTGTACTTTACAGTTGAAGTTTACAATGAAATAATATGAAACTTACTAATAGAGAGAGAGAGAGAATTATTTTTTTACAGTTATAGGGTTGTTTAATGTTTTACTTTTATCTTTATTTATAATGCCCCCAAATGTTTACTGCTACATTTTATTTTAGACGAGAAGATTTTATGCAGATCCCAGAATTGTCTATAAATCCATTAGGAGATCGTATAGTGCAAGCCTTCTTCAGTGAGGCTTTGGATGACATGATTAATTTACGGCAGTTTATAAGAGTACTCTCGAAGTTCCAAAGAACCAAGGAGAATGAAGAAGATAATAAATTAAATAGTCGGGAAGAGAAACTGAAATGTAAGACTGATTTTTGTATTTAGTACAAATCATTCTAAAATTGTATTTTACATTGTTGAACAAGTACACCCTATGCAAGGTTTTGGATATTGTCTATATATATAATTTAGAAATGCCTTTGTTTATTCATATTGTTAATATATCTGGTTTTGGAATGTCTTTTGACTTGTAGATATTGTCTATATATCTGGTTTTGAAATATCTTTTGACTTGTAGATATTGTCTATATATATGGTTTTGGAATACCTTTTGTCTTTTTGATATTGTCTATATATACAGTTTTGAAATGCCTTTGGGCTTATTCATATTGTCTGTATATAAAGTTTAGAAATGCATTTTCACTTACTGATATTGTGTGTTTATTTATGTGTGGCTTAAGAATGCCTCTTGATTTATTGATATTGTGATTTAGGAGAAATTGATTGAACAGTTATAATTAGTTACTTGATACTAATCACTAACTTTTTTCTTGGTTGATTGTGGTTGATGTAAGTCAAATAGACCCAGAAAGGCCATGGCTCATAAAAAGCTAAAAATACCATCAATCTAGACCAGTGGTCGGTAACCTATGACCCGCGGGTCACTAAGTGACCCACGGCAATATTTTGGCTGACCCGCCAAAAGTTGGCTTCACCATTGCAACCCCTAAGGGCACAATCATTGTTCAGTTCAAGTTTCTCGGCTATGTGAGAAGAACAACGATATTAAAGGAAAGATGGGAAAGAGTCAAGGCTACGGAGAATTTTAAGATCAATTTCAGGGAAAAAATATACAAACTGGTC